AGGTGAATGGAGTTTCCCCGGTTGAATATCTGGGGGCAGTTTGGTATGCCCAGAGGACGTTGGGGAGTTCCTTAGCCCATCTTCTTTGGGCTTTCTCGAGCTGTTTCTTCAGCCCGTCTAAGTTAGTCTTGTTTGAAGCTTTAGCTTTGTTAGACTTATTTATTTTGATGATTTATTTAATTATATTGTTAATTTATTTGAAAAAGAAAAATAGAATCAAAATTTATTTTGATATTTTATTTGAAAGAGAAAAATAGAATAAAAATTTATTTTGATGATTTATTTGAAAGAGAAAACTAAAATCAACATTTATTTTGATGATTTTATGTTTTAATTTATTTGAAAGAGAAAAATAGAATCAAAATTTATTTTGTCCCATTATTTCTCACCTAAACCTTTATCCTAAATGTTGTTAGAATGTATTTAACATTTGATTAAATCAGGAGTTCAAACAGCCCAGCACAGTAGCAGTTCAAAAGGTTCAAAAGGTTCAAGTGGAAGATATTCAAATTTGTAATGATGGAGTGGAAGATATTCAAATTAGTAATGATGGAGTACAACGGCTATAAATGGTTATAAATTCAAATGAATACAACGGCTATAAATTCAAATGAATACAACGGCTATAAGTTTCATTATATATACCAAAGCCTCTAATGTAAACAAGTTACAAAAAATCAGAAAATATTCTTTGATCTATAATCACTCACATCTAGGGTTGCAAATGAATAGAGTCGTTCGTGAACAAACTCGAGCTCGGCTCGGTAAGAGCTCGTTCGAACTCGGTTCGTTAATTTTTTTTGTCGTTCGAGCTCGAGCTCAAGCTCGTTAAATTTTTAATAAACAACCTCAAACATTCTAAAACTCGGCTCGTTAGCTGGCTCATTTAATATTTATTATTTATATATTAAATAATATAAAATTATGTATAAAAAATAAGAGAAATATGTTATTTATATGTTTAAAAAATATAAATGTAAATAATAGTTAACTATAGATAGTACATTTATATAATAGTGGTAGTAGATATTATTATTTTAGTAAAATATGAATTTTTTTTTAGTATGTTTATATATATTGTATATATAATTGTATAATCAAAGTTTTAATTGTAACTTTAGTCTCACATATAAGTATGAATTTATAAATTTTTTGGCTCGTTAAGGTTCGTGAACAGGCTCGCGCTCGAGTCGAGCCTAAGCCAACTCGGCTCGAGCTCGGATCGTTAAATTTTTATTCAACTCGAGCTCGAGCTCGTTAAAATCTTAATAAACAAGCCCAAACATACTAAAGCTCGGCCATCTATTCTCTGAAAAATTCTCTGAGAAGTGTTCTTCAATTTTTGTTTACATCCTCTTTCAGAAATTATACACTGAGACGTATAGCTTTAAGCCCATCTTTCTTGTGTGAGATTTACAGAAAAATCAAAGCTTCATTTTTATAACTATATTTGAGAGATAATTCTTGTAGCTTTCTATGAAAGCAAAAACACCTTCTTTTCAACCTTGTAACAGTGTAGTACACTCAGTGTTCTTGACTTAGAAAGTCTGTGTAAAATCCGTGGAGGATTGCTCTATTTGTAAAGAGGTTGCTAGCACCCTCGTGAAGCTAGAGCATAGTGGAAATCTCAAGTAAAGCTTGAGGAGTGGACTTAGGCCGAGTTGAAACCGAACCACTATAAATTTGTTTGCCTCTCTCTCCCTTATCTCTTTATTTTATTTAAATTGCTGTAGTTATGTTTCACATTTTCATTGTGCTAAAATCATTAACTGACATAGTTGTTAGAACACTTGTTTTAATTATTTTTATTTCATTAATTATATTTATCTATTGTGTTGGTCATAATTTTTATTAGGGTATTATTAATTTTAATTATAAAAACCTAATTCACCCCCCTCTTAGATTGTCTTTTAGGTAACAAGCTTGACCATTCGATTAAGGGTAGACCAGTGTAAAGTTGTAAAACTCAATTTTCAACTCTTCGCAAAATTCGCAAAAGAGTTTCCCGTCGAACTGCGTGCCGTTATTCGAGATGAGGGCTTTGGAATGCCAAACTGAGTAATGACATTCTGCCAGACAAACCTCTTTACATATTTTTTCTTGATGGTAGCCAACGGCTCGACTTCCACCCATTTGGTAAAGTAATCGGTAGCGGTAACGAAAAACTTGTGGTTGCCTGGAGCAGTTAGAAGCGGTCCCACAATGTCCAGCCCCTGAAGTGCAAATGGCCAAGGACTCGTCAAGGGGAGCAACTCCCTGGCCAACTGGTGGATCTGGTGAGCAAATTTTTGGCACTTCTCGCATCTGCAGACATATTTATGAGCGTCAACCTGCATGCACAACCACCAATAGCCTTGAAAAATTGCTCGATATGCCAAGGATCTGCCCCCAATGTGGCTACCACACATGCCTTCATGAATTTCAAAGAGGAAAGCTTCAACCTTGCTGGAATGGACGCATTTCAGGTACGGCCCAGTAAAGGACTTTTTGTACAAGGCGCCAAATAGAGAGAGCCAAAACCGTTCTGACTTAGCCCTGATCTTGTTGGCTTCTTTTTTCTCGGTGGATAGGATTTGTTCTTTGAGGAAGGTGATGATTAGATCCATCTAAGATGGTTCCAAGTCAGTGCAAAGTATCTTGGGCGTCTCTGGCTCCTCGATGCTAGGTCGGGGCAGGAACTCGATCATTAGAGGGTTGGGAAGGCATTTTGCACAGATGCCAAGCCGGTTAGTTCATCTGCTTTACTATTTTCTTCGCGGCCAATTTGTTTCATTCTTATTGCAGCAAACTTTTTGATTTCGGCGTGTACTAGCGCTTGATACTTGGCCATCCTCTCATCCTTAGCCTCATATTCACCAGAGACTTAGCTAACGACAAGTTTGGAGTCACTAAACACCATAAGCTTTGTGGCCTCCATTCGTAGAGCACTTTTCAAGCTAGCTAGAAGGGCTTCATACTCTGCCTCATTGTTGGACGCTGGGAATCCCAATGTGATGGCATGTTCAATGGTCAGTCCATCTGGCAAGGTTAACACAACTTCTAGCCCAGTACTATGTTTATTTGAGGCCCCGTCAACAAAGAACTTCCACATCTCCTCGATGAACAGCTTCCAGCAATCGGAGCGATTTTGAGATTTTTACAAATCCAAGGCATTGGGCAGCATCGTGCGTAGCTTTCCTACGTGCGCATTTGTCTCATCGTTCAGTAAGTCAACTGGCCTTTGCTCGGTTTGCTCGGGATCGTCCACCTCATTTACTGTATGCACCTCATCTCCATGTGGCAACACCGACACCATAGGCCGTGCAAAATCCGCACTATCCATTCCCTCTTGCTCGGTGTCGCATGCTAAGTCTATTGGGCAGACGGGGTGGGTGCCTGGTGCAAATTCAGTGACAAAATCAGCCAGGGCTTGTGCTTTGATGGCCGTTCGCGGCTGGAACTTTATGTCGTACTGCCCCAGCTCTACTGCCCACTTCAAAATTCTACCTGCAAAATCTTCCTTCTCAAAGAGCACCTTGAGTGGAAATTCGGTCAGCACTATTATGGTGTGGGCATGAAAATAGTGTGCTAACTTTCTGGAGGCCATCATGAGGCTAAAGCCAATTTTTCAAACGACAGATATCTCGATTCGACTAGGAGCAGCGTCTTGCTGACATAGAAAATAGGAAGGTGCTAAATCCCCTCAGCTCGGACGAGTACCGTGCTCACAGCGTGTTGAGAAACGACCAAGTATAGATAGAGCTCTTTGCCTTGCTGTAGAGTGACTAGGATTGGGGCAGAAGAGAGACATGCCTTCAGGTCTGTCAAAGTGCGGTCACACTCTGTATTCCAGAAAAACTTGGCTTTCAAAGTTTTAAAAAGGGCCTGCAACGATCTGATGACCGACTGATGAATCTGTTCAACGCGGCTGCCACTTCAATAAGATGTTACACATCCTTTGAGGAATTTGGTCGCTCTTTGATTTGTGAAGGGCCAGCTTTAATTCCTCGGTTGGTGACCAAAAAACCTAGAAATTTTTTCGTTCCCACTCTGAAAGCACACTTGGATGCATTCAAACGTAATCTGTGTAGCTTGAGAATGGCAAACATCTCGGCTAGGTCGGTGAGGTGCTGGGACTGATCTTTACTCTTTACTACTATGTCGTCAATGTAGGCCTCCATAGTGCGACCAAGGAGAGGGGTGAACATTTTGGTCACCATCCTTTGAAAGGTTGCCTCGGTGTTCTTCAAGCCAAAGGACATGACCTCGTAGCAGTACAAGCCCCTTGGCGTAGTGAATGATGTTATCTCTCTGTCCGGTTTATACATGGCTATCTGATGGTAACCATGGGATACATCAAGGAAGTTGAATCTTTGGTGACCAGCAGTAAGATCCACCAGTTGGTCAATCCTTAGGAGTAGAATGATATCCTTGGGGCAAGCACGGTTGACCGTCTCGTAGTTGACGCATACTCGCCATTTTTCATTTTTCTTTCGCACCACAAACGTGTTTGAGATCCATCTAGGGTAGTGCACCTCTTCGATCGCCCCGGCTTCCAGCAAGTTTCTAACCTCTTCGGCAACTACTTCGGCATAGTGTAGAGCTGAGCGCCGAGTTCTTTGAATGACATGCAGTGCGTTGGGAAAGATATTCAACTGGTGGCATATGAAGCTAGGGTCGACGCCATACATGTCGTAACGCCTCCACGTGAAGATTTCAATGTTGGAAACCAAAAAGTTTACATATGCTAGCCGTTCGGCGCTGGTCAGAGATGAACCTAAGAGAAAGAACTTGCTCGGATCACTCTCATCGATACGAACCTCCACCAAGTCTTCCACTGATTTCTCCTCAACTCTTTTTCCTATATCCTCTAGGACTTCTTTGCCTTATGGCTCCTCTATTATCTGGACAAAGCCTTTGGTGGCCTGACTGCCATTTACCACGACAAAGCATTGTTTGGACATCACCTGATCCCCCCAAACTTTTTCAATTTGTCCAGTTGGGGCGGGAAAGCGCATGACCTAATGATAAGTCGAAGCCACTGCTTGCATGGCATGTAACCAACCCCTCCCCAAGATCAGATTGTATGTTGACGGGAGCTTCAGCACCCAAAACTCCACCTGCATCGTGATTGACCCAACCTTGACTGGCAATATGATCTTCCTAATCGACCATTCCGGTTGAGAGTTAAATCCGACCAAAGGAGATGTTATTGGGGCCAAGTCCTTGTCTTTCAACTTCATCAGCTTGAATGCATCATAGTACATGATCTCGACCGAACTCTCCTGGTCGATCAGTATTCGCCTGATGTCAAAATCCTTGACACGAAACGTTACTACCAAAGTGTCATTATGTGGGGTTTGAATTCTTTCCAAGTCGTTGCTCGAAAAGGTCATGATGTCTTTTACCTCGGTTTTCCCTTTCTTTACGGCGGGCTGAACATAGAGCACTTCCCTCATGTGCTCGACCTTTTTAATCATCCCCTTGAGCTCACAAACTCGTGCTGGCTCGATGATACCGTAAATAACATTGTTGACTCCTTAGGGTGTTGCATCCAAGACGGCAAGGCCATTTGGCTCCGCTTACCCTTGTGGAGCGGCTCTCATACCTCCGTCTATATACTGGTCCAAGTGCCCAGCCGCAACCAACTCTTCTAAGTATTGTTTCAATGGCACCTAGTCCTTCGTGCAGTGCCCCCTTTCTTCATGGAAAGTGCAGCGGTACCTTGAGTTGAAGCTCCTCTGTGCATCTCCCAATTTTGCTGGCCAACAGACGTATGGCTCACCTCGGATTTCATTGAGGAGGATGCGATAAATTGGGATCTTAAAAACTGTGGTGATGTCGGTCCGTGCCTTTAACTTTCTCTTAGCATCTTTCTCTTCGCTGCGAGGAGTGTTGGCTCAGTCATTCCCGCGGCCTTTGTTTCTATCGTTGCGGTTAGTACCACGATGTTGCTCTCTAGCTCGGTTATTAAGGCAGTTATCCTCCTACCCTACCGAGTAAACCTTTCCCGCAACATGTTGGTCTGCCGCAACCGAATTTTTCCTCTCAGTTGCTGTGGCGACATCATCCTCAACTCGAATGTGCTTGTTAATCCGCTACATCAATGATTCCATGGTTATGGGTCAGTGTATTGTAAGCGAGTCCCACAGTTTATGTCCGACTAGTAAGCCTCGCTTGTATTAGGCGATTTCCAAATTAGTGGGGCAATCGAGGATCTCATTGTAGGTCTCATAATATTTGGCATTATATGCCTTCAAAGAACTACCCGATTCCATCTTGATACCCAAGAGGTGGTCGACCTCCTTCGGTGTTCGGGTATTGGTCTTGAATCTGGTGACAAAAGCTTCTGCTAGTTGTTGCCATCTCTGGGAGCCTTTTAAACCATTTCAAGCCCAATTCTCCTAAACTTGCTGGGAATATGAGACGCATCGAGGCATTATTGCGCTGATAACCTACCACCACTTGCCGGTAGTGACTAACATACATGTACTGATCCGTCTTGCCGTCGTAAAGTGTGAACTTAGGTTGATGGAATCCGGCGGGGAGGGGTGTGCTCTCGATCTCTGGAGACAGCGGGGTGGCTATAAGTCTTGCGAACTCTCTGTCCACCGGTGCTGGAACCATCATTCTAGGTGGTTGCATGGCCACTTCCTCACTGTAACGGATCTTGGGACTCAGTCGTCACAACGCTGGCACTCTTGGTGCCTCTCTGCGCCGTGTTCGTTCCTTCAAGACGTCCCTTAGGTCCCCTGAACGGGTGGAGTGAGAGTATCTTGATGTCGTCAACGGATGTGAGGGGCGGTAGCTGTTGTCTCACGTGCATGACCTCTCCACCGGTGGGTCAGAATCGCTAATGCCGTAGCTCCTGGTGATGGAGAGGGAGGGCGTGTCTCGTTTGTGCTGGCTACATGAGCGACAGGGTTAAGTGTGCTTACTGTGATTTTCCACCCTAGCAACACCCTTCCCTTTGATCTATCGTTTCAGCGTCTCCATCTTAATTGCCATATTCCGTTTGAGGGTATTCTGGTCTCTAAGTTTGTGCTCTAAGTGCTGAGCGTGTGACTCTCCTCATCGCTGTCGTCCATCAGGACTCCTCAAAAGGTTAATGTTCTTCGTGCATTTCTAGGTAGCCTTCTAGAGGAGGCCTCCAAGCCTGCCATGGTTGGAATGGTGGGAGGGTCATCTCTAATCTAGACCGACTCTAGAGTGATGTCGTCGACAACGGACAACGGTGTTTCGTCGTTGTTTTCCATGAAAAATGGTTGAAAAAGCTTGGAGAGCAAGGTTTGTCTGTCAAAGCCTTTCCACAGATGGCGCCAATTGTATGGGAAGGAAATATTCGTTGCTTTCCGTACTCTTTGTGTCCAAGCTTCAAGTAACGTTGCTTAACTTGAGAACAGAAAAAGAGTGAGATGTCCCGACGGCGTGTTGCTGGAAAAACCCTCTAACGGTTGAGTTAGCACACTTAGAGAAGAAGAGAGAAGGTAGAGCCCTGTAGAGAGAAAGAGAGTTTGTAATCAAAATTGCTTACCACTAACGTCTGCATACTCCTCATTTTCAAGGCTGGCCACGCAGCCTTACGAACTGTGGGCGCACTACCTCTGCTATCCTTCTCTGGACAGGCGATTGTGCTCCCCTCCACATTTCTTACACGTGTAGAGACCAAAACCTCCAAACAGTGTTTGTCACGCTGCCAAACGGTATTGATCCATACTAGAAGTGGATTCTTCTCTTCCCATCATTGGTCCAGGTGGAATACTTGGTTGAACCATTACTTCACAATCAACACCACCAACTCCGACTTCCCATATATCAGGTGAAGTCTGTGCGGCTGTTCTCTCGGTGTAAAGACCGAATCACATCTATCTTGATCTCCCCACACCGGGTTGAATGTGGGCGGCCAATAACTCGGTCGCAACGTAGCTCGCATCTATTTAGGTCGGCCAAACGAGGGTGTTTTGTTCGCCTTTTCGGCTAATACAATCCCTTCAAGTATCAATCACGAATACGGTGACCGATGGCTTGGTGCGACCCAGAGCATATGCCGCGCGGCCCCTTGCTTGGCCCAACACCATGCCCGTGCTGATCCCCAGACCGGCTCAACATTTGGTGTAAATCCCCCTCTCAATTGCAGCTCGCATCTATTTAGGTCGGCCAAACGAGGGTGTTTTGTTCGCCTTTTCGGCTAATACAATCCCTTCAAGTATCAATCACGAATACGGTGACCGATGGCTTGGTGCGACCCAGAGCATATGCCGCGCAGCCCCTTGCTTGGCCCAACACCATGCCCGTGCTGATCCCCAGACCGGCTTAACACTTGGTGTAAATCCCCCTCTCAATTGCCCCTTAATCCTATCCACATTGATCATGATTGGGATTACTTTTTATTACCGAGCTATCAATTCCATACAGTCTTCGAGATTTGCAACCGTTATTTTGTCACTGATCAGTTGGCCTCACTGACATCCTTGTGGTCGTACCGACAACTAGTCATCTCTTTGACACATGGCGTTCCCCTATTCGCTCCATGCAACCCCATAGCTGTCATTATTATGCCCAAAATTCAAAAGGTTGCCGCATTTTGGCTTCCCGCCCATATATACTTGCTAGAAGTCAAAAAATTCCCATCACTGTTCACCCTCTTTCTAGCCCAAAACCTAAAACCCTTGAACTTCAGCCACTGTCGCCATCATGGTCGCTCTCACTCTCAGCTGTCGTTCTTGCTTTGTTAGATTTGCCATTCTTCGTCGAAGCTGCTACTCTCTACGGACCAAGGTCTCACATCGTGTTTGGTAAGCTTTTCTAATCTTCTTCACTTCCCTTTTCCATTGTTCTTCAAGTTCTTCATTTCTGTTTATTTGGGACTGTTGATATACTGCCGATGCCCTTCTTATGGGGTAAAACTGATAGACATTCGTAGACCCTAAGCGAAACCGGAACCAAAAACACAAATAGGGCCCCCATGCCCTTTATTCTCCTTAGTTTCAATGTATGAACTTCGTATTTAGGATGAACAACGTAATTCCTGGGCAAGACCGAGCAAAAATTCAGTTTTAGATCTTGAAATCGCTCCAAACTGAGCTAAAATGTGTTTGTGGTCTCTTCAAGTGATTTGGACCGCAATAGGAACCAGTAGGGGCGTTGAGCCGAGATAACCACAAACCATTTAAGATAAAGGCCCAAAATCGGCCTAACACCTTAGGCTCCAAAACCGAGCTAAAATTGCATTTCGAGATAAAACTGGAAGTTTAGAGGAAACTTTTTAAAGTCGAGCTAGGCATATTTTGGTGGTCACACACTTGATACCGTGATAATATCAAGATAAATGGGGAAATACCAATTTTTGGTTAGTTCGCCTGGGGCAGTTACCAAGTTTCATAAAGAATTCAACGTACCAGATGACGTCCACTTTGAGCTGGCCAAAAAAAAATAGAAACTCCCTGGGGTAAATTGGACGCCTACCCCTTCACGGTCGTGTTCATTGTGGAAGGCGGCCTACGCTTCCCGGTCCAACCTCTAATCTACTAATTTTTGAGGTAGACTAGACAGTGTCCAACCCAGGTGTCCAATAACACTTATAAGATAATAAATGATGTGGTCGCGCTAAATCGAATCCTCGGTTTGAACCTCGGAGGCTTCTATTGGTACCCGAAGGTTAGGAAGGGCCGAGCAAAACTTATAAGGGCAACCCGGACAAAGATATGCATGACAATGATTTCCTGTGGGTGTCTGGTAATTATGAGGACATTGAGGCGCCCATACCGGGCTGGTATATACGCGAAAATTTCTGGAGCGTTCGTGAGCATCTTAGCGCGGTTTACATTTTTGCATTTGAACCATTTTGCCGATCTAACACTTGAATTTTTATGTAGATTATATGATCTTGGTAGAGGATTATTCCCGAGCCAACTAGGAGGCCATCCGAGTTAGTTTGTGGCACCCAGCAGAAGAGCAAGAGCCCAAAAAGATGCTCAGATACGAACTGAGCTACCAGCATACTGCACTGCGTAAAAGTTGGGTCACCGATTTTCTTCATGCCCCCTCTCCAGAACCAGATCCAACACTTCTACCGATCAAACTTGTCTCCCTGACAGCCGAGCACACTTAGAGAAGAAGAGAAAAGGTAGAGCCCTGTAGAAAGAGAGTCTGTAATCAAAATTGCTTACCACTAACATCTGTATGCTACTCATTTTCAAGGTTGGCCATACAGCCTCACAGATTGTGGGCGCACTTCCTCTATTGTCCTTCTCTAGACAAGCGGCTGTGCTCCCCTCTACATGCCTTACACGTATAGAGACCAGAACCTCCAAACAGTGCTTGTCGCACTGCTAAACAGTATTGACGCATACTAGGAGTGGACTCCTCTCTTCCCATCATTAGTCGATGTGGAATACTTGGCCGAACCATTGCTTCACAATCAGCAACACCAACTCCGACTTCCCACATACCAGGTGCA